TTAAATATAGCCTAGAGGGCATAACCTTCCTTTCCCCACAAAACAAATAATGAGTTTGATCAAGGTCAAGGTTGAACATATTTGGGAGCTTCACTCATTTAAGAATTTTAATTGGGGGAGAATGATTCCTGCATCAGAAAAAAAATTCAAATATGCAAAAAACACCCTAGCAACATAGACTAAACTACTTAAATAGTTGAAACTTTTACCTGTCCCAGCTCATCATGACGCAATATATGTTGCAATTCGGTGCAGGGCAAGAAGGTTACTGTCAGTAATCAGCATTTTTTGTCAGACCTAGCTAGAATCTAATACTGTGCTTCACTTCTAAATAAGTACACAGTCCAAGGTACACTAGGATATCTTAAAAAATGAAAATAGTGAAATACAAGTTACCCTCTAATTTCAGCAAGGTCACCGGTAAGTAGTTCATAGCTGAGAGAGTAGTAGAAGTAAAGCCTAGCAGCTAGAACATCAATAGTCCTCCTATTCACGTTCTTCAGCCGAACAATGCTTGTAGAGGTGCAAGCTTTTGCTTAAAACAACGATTGCTATGTTACTTATGTAATAGACACAGAAAAAGATCCTTGATGAAACAATATTTGTTCACTCACCTCATTGTACTTATTTTGATCAATCAGCAATATCAAGACAAGCAAGTAGCAGTAGATTTCCATAATGGATGTTTTGCAGAAGCTTGAAGTGAAGAGGCAGCAGTATCAACTTCCATATCATGCTCATCTTCGTATCGCCAATGTTGAGCAATGCAATGTTGGAGAATGTAATCCACACAAGTTTCCAAATTGATGAACACGCATCATAACAACTGCTACAACCTTACACTTTCAAAATAATCACTTTTCTCAACACGAATCGCTCAATAAAGAAAGCCTGAAGCTTTACCTTTGGAAGAGAAGAAGACAGCTTACTATGCGCCTCAGATCCCGAAGGAAGAGCGAAATTGAGGAAAGCAGAGAGAATGGGAGCCTTCAGTTTCTGCTGGATTGTCATGGTAAGCCTCACGACTTGCACAATTCGCCTAATTTCACCAATTATCACCACACTGTTTCACTACATAACCCTAGGATTATGCTCAAAACGCATTACATTAAGCAGACTAGATCTAGGGTTGAAAGGAAGCTACCAGATTTTGAAGCACAAGGAATGAGAAGTTCAGCGGTTGCGCCGGAGAAAGAGGCCCACCAAATTGAGCATCGGAGATCCAGAACCGCCAACATCGAATCTGTCCTCCAGGCACACACTAGTCGGCTCCACCAAAGGGTCGATCGGAGTCTGAAACATGGATCCAAGGTCCCCAGTGCTAGATCAAGTCGAAAAGTCGTCAAGGTTAACCAAAATTTTTGGATCGAATGTCAGATTTGCGCTATTGGAGAACTGTCCCACAAAGAGAACGTCGGCTGGCCCCTTCGATCGGACAATGATGGCATGAACAGCGAGAAGGAGAAAGGGAAAGGATACGAGAGAGAAAAGGGAAATGAATTTTGGCGAAGGTTGCAGTCGAACTAGATTTGGGAGAGGGAAATATTTAGGTTTAGCTGGGGAGGGAAACTCGGAATGTAGAGAAGGAAAATTGGGGAAAATGTGGAGGGAAGTGAAAATAAGGACAGCCAGCTAAAATCAAAGAGGAAAAAATTGAGTTTAACAAATAGTAAATTATATAGACAGTATATAGAAATCTGTATGTATAAATATATTTATACAAACGCAAGATGATTTCCGTTGGTATAGATATTCTCTATACAGATGGATAATAATTTTTTGTTTGTATAAACCTAATCTATACTAACAGATATAATTTTTCGTTTGTATAGACCTAACCTATACTAACAGATATATTTTTCCGTTGGTATAGACTTGTCTATACAGACGGATATAGTTTTCCGTTGGTATAGACCCGTGTATACAAACGGATTTCAATCCGTCAGTATAGACTTCCGTTGGTAAAAGGCATTTTGCTTGTAGTGATAAATTTATTATTCTTAATTAATTTTAATAAATATTTTATGTATTTTGAGAAATTAAAAGGTGAAAAAACCTATGGCTACAAGCCTAGAACGCTAGAACACAACACAAACACAATATTAAAAAATGAAGCCAAAATCTGTATCAAAGGAAATTTTATAACAAAAGAGTCGACACTTACACTGTGGTGTCACCCACGCAATTTTCAGCATTCCATATTTCTATTGTTTTACATGCGTCCCACTTCTTTTTTATGTATTTTGAGAAATTAAAAGGTGAAAAAACCTATGGCTACAAGCCTAGAACACTAGAACACAACACAAACACAATATTAAAAAATGAAGCCAAAATCTGTATCGAAGGAAATTTTATAGCAGAAGAGTCGACACTTACACTGTGGTGTCACCCACGCAATTTTCAGCATTCCATATTTCTATTGTTTTACATGCATCCCACTTCTTTCCTATTAGAGTTTTCTTATCTCTATAAATACTTATTCAAGTCAAGGTTCCGATGGCTTTTTGAAGATTTTTCTTAATCTCTATAAATACTTATTCAAGTCAAGGTTCCGATG